AATAAAAATAAATTGTCGAACTTTTACTAGTCGGTTACTATAACTTTTTTGGGCTAAAACGATGTAGATAACTGATTTTTAAAAGTGTTATAATTTATTTATTTAAAAAATGTTCATGGACTTAATCAATTAAAATGAGAAAGTTTAATGGTTTTTCATTCAAAAATATAAAGTTTAATGGTTTTTTAATGGGAAAATTACACCAAAATGGAACCAACTTTCACCTAATTCTTATTTTGGAGAACCAACTTTCAAAATCATCATTTTGGGGAACCAACTTGCACATAATTCCTATTTTGAGGAACCAACTTTCAAAATCGTCATTTTGGGGAACCAGCTTGCACCTGATTCCTATTTTGGGGAACCAACTTGCAAAATAATTATAGAAAAGTAACTACAATTCGTTTTTTTCAAAAATTAATGCAATAAAATCTATTTTGCATTTCAAATCTCATTTTTTTTAATTCAGATATCAAATTGAACATTTTTAAAAAAACAATTCAAATTAACACAATAAAAATTATTTTTTACTAATGTAAAAAACCAATTTAATAGAAAAAATTAATTGATACAGATTGGTTAGATATAAAAATCTTGAATGTGATATTTAATATTTATTTTTTATTGTATCAATTAATTTTTTCCTATTAAATTGATTTTTTTTTTGCATTAATAAAAAACAATTTTTATTGTGGTAATTTGAATTTTTTTTAAAAAAATGTTCAATTTGATATTTTAATTAAAAAAAAACTAGAATTGAAATGAAAAATAGATTTTATTGCATTAATTTTTGGAAAAAAACAAATTTTAGTTATTTTTCTATAATTATTTTGCAAGTTAGTTCTCCAAAATAGGAATCAGGTGCAAGTTGGTTCCCCAAAATTACGATTTTGAAAGTTGGTTCCCCAAAATAAGAATCAAGTGCAAGTTGGTTCCCCAAAATGATGATTTTAAAAGTTGGTTCCCCAAAATAGGAATTAGGTGAAAGTTGGTTTCATTTTGACGCAATTTTCCCTTTTTTAATTCAAAAAAAAATAGTTCATAAATTTAATCATTCAAAATAATAAATCAAAATGAGGAAGTTTGATGGTTTTTCATTCAAGATAAATAGTTTATGAACTTAATCATTTAAAACAATATAGTTCGTTGTTGTTTTTTTTTATATTACTTTTTCCCTAATTAAAAAAATGATTAATCAAATACCTTAAAACCGATGTTGAGCAAGGGATGATGCCGTTTTCTTTACAGATAATTTCAACACACTGTTAATTGTCTTGTAGTTGACAGTGACGCCTCCTCCGAGATAAAACAGCTCAAGCTCAATTGAATTGCATAGTTCAATACGTATCTCTCTTGTTGTAATTCTTTTTATCTCAATTGCTCAAGAAACTCAAAATCCAAAAATATAAATTTTACAACCGCTTAGAATTATCATCTAAAAGTAGACTTTTTCATTTGTTAGATCACACATTTTTAAACTCAAACAAAAAATAGTTTTATTGACCGAGTTAGCTAAAATGATACATGGTCTGATACTTGCATCGGATTAGTTGTGAAAAATGGCAAACTATATATGAAGTAACATATCGACTGAATAACCTCTAAATTAGTTTAGACCTTTGGTGATCAAATCTCGATAATATTCAATATATGACTTATAAAATGGTCATGTATCTAAATTACAACCAATGTAGGTCGAGATGTCATATCTCCATCCCCTATCTTGTTCGTCAAGAGTTTTTTGTAACCCTCTAAAGTTGTCATGTAAACAACGTTTGTGTCTGTCATTTGTGATATGAATTCGTCGTGGATGCACCGATGGCTTCAACTATCAATTTATGAATTTATTATTGATTGTGGCGAAGGCAGGTGGTGGAGTGACGTTTTTTTCAATGTTCTGCAAATTGGTGCATATATATCAAATTTGGTGTTTTGTTGTCAACGCGACTCAATGATCGCATCATAGGTTTAAGATGACAATAGAAAACATCAAATGGAAAAAAACAAAATTAGTGACCTAGCTTTGGTAGCAATACCGATTGTCGCTTTCAAGTTGGTAGACGTGAGTTGCCCCTATTTATACTTGACAATGTTTTTTTGTCCGACGTTCTTCATTTATACTTAAATAATGGTCTTGTCTGAGTACTATTGTCACAAATACTTGCTAAAATCTAAATAATAATTGGTTTTTTTATAAAAAAAATAGACATGTTTAAATTTTGTTATACGTCCATGCGGAGATTTTTTTATCAAAGAACATCGACAAATTGTTAACTACACCACCTATATTGTAACAACAAAAATATAGTTAGAAAAATCAAATTTACAAGCTCATGAACAATTATAGACATTATTACCACGGTGCAAAAACAATTTTTTGTTAATTTTCTCCCATTTTGATTTTTTATAAAACTTTCATGATTTATATTTATTTCCAATACCATTTCATCTTAAAATTTGTCGATTTTTATCTCATTTTTAAGAAAACATATATTTATTTAAAGATCAAGATCGATCCCGTTTGAACAAATGTATTTTATTCCCCAATTCGACACAATTGACTTTTTTTGGGTCAAACCGAATCGACTATTCCCGTGTCAAATTGCACTTTTGTAGACCCACCTTAAAGATGTACAGCCTCAAACAAGTTATTGGTTCCGCCATCGTCAAGCACCCTCTTCCCCACATAAACCTAAGACCAACACCCAAATGCACCATTCCCTCTGTCAACCTAAGACAAGCAGCACTCCGATCGCACGAAACGTCTTTTTTGGAAGACCTCCAGCACCAGCAATGGAGCCGAGACCACCATTTAAGACAAAGCCATATATGAGACATAGATTAAACATCAAAATGAGTTTGGGAACGTGAGATTAAGTTGGATGTGGGGTGTCATTATGATTGGTAATTATTAGAATTTATAATTTGTTGATTTAATCCGATAACTTAGCTATGTTAGGCTCTTTAACGATTGTTGTAGCTCACCGTATGTATGCCATGCTCCATACTTTCCCCACTTTCATTGAATTGACAGTGAAAGATTTATTTTTTGATTATGAATGCAAGTCTGTTACTTTCTTTCCTTCATCTTCTTATTTCCTTTCTTCGAATCTTGATATTTCTTATTGTTTGCATTTAGGATTGTCTTGATTTGGTACTAAAGGTGCATCGTCCATGTTTCCATCATCCCTGAACTCAATTCTTGGATTGCCAAATTCTGAATTAGCATCTTAGCCCTCAAAGTTGAGATAAAACTGAAGTTATACATGAACCAATGCCATTAGTTATCGGCTGATTGCAGTTTTGATTGGGATAAGTCACTTAACGTAGAAGCAAGTAATTCTAAGGGGGTTTTCAGCCTTATTTTCTGTTCAGGTTCTTATTCCCCCTCTTACTGATTTGACCAATATCCTCTTTGGCAGGTTTTTTCAATGTACAACTTACTGAGCAATAAGTATTAAAAATTGTGAGCTAAATAATTGCAGGTAGACAAGACTAAACTGAGAGGTAACTCCATGTTCAGTGAAATGTCTAACAGCACTCTATGCTTCATGGAACAATAACTCCTTTCAATTCTTTATTTCTGCAGGCTACTTTATTTGTAGATTCAACATGGTTTGACTCTATGATTTGACTAAAGTATATATATATATATATATATATATATATATATATATATATGCTCATGACTCTAGTTGTCACAGGCTTGTAATCATATCCATGACTTGTTGACCATGGGACACCAAGATCAGCTCTATTTTGTGCATGCTCAGTATAGCTGAAAGCTGTAAAGGTCATGTGATGTAAAATGTTAATCACTCGTTCCAAATTGCAAAGAAGAACGTTGAGTTAAACCGAAACCAGTCGCAAAAATGACACGAGTTCAAGTTATTGTCATGTTCGTTTGATGAATCATGGGTGATTAATGGACCCAAAGTAAGAGGGCGAACATGTGCTATATTATGTGTATACTGGTTTATGCCACACTCCCAAACATTTTATACATGTTGGTTGTATTCTCTTGTGGATTGCAGCCCAATCTCTTTCTTTTTGGTTTTGTCTAAACTTTTGTTTGGTGTTGCTTGTAGGAGACCCGTTTTAGTACTATGTTCGCTTACACCGCACCTCCATTTGCGGATAAACAAGAGGCTTCCGTAACTTATACAACCTGCACTCATGGCTGGGATTGGTTCTCTTATTCTTATTTGTGTTTGTATTTTATAACTAGCCATGAAGTCTTATTTATGGAATAATCGTTTTTGGGCTCATCAGAATTTTCACCGTTCAATTCCAATTAAGACGTTTCGTTTGGGCTTGAGTTTCTTATGGTATCTTCCATTTCCACTTCAAACATATCGTCTTTGTCAATATTTTCAATATCTAACTCGATGAGTAATTAAGTATTAATAACAGATTTTTTTTAACGAAATCAGTCTCATGGACGAAACACGAAACAAAATGGAAACCATATGGACGAAAAAACAGTTTTTAAAGATCATGATCGGAAATCGTTATAAACAAACGAAAATCGTAGTTTGCTTTAAAATCTTTTTACAAGATAACATGATTAATGGTATTAAAAAAAAGGGACACTCGAAGATGCCGTTTTGTTGTTTTATTTAATTTTATAGCCATCCGTACATAATAACGCTTTTTCATAGGCCGGATGATTCAACGCCGAACGGGGCACATTCGAAGAACAATGCAACGAGGACGGCTTTTGGAAAGTTCGAAAAGCTTCAAACATGCCATTGATTCGGCCGGCACACATTCCCGAATAAACTAAACTCCCATACCCTCACTCTTGATTCTTTCATCACCATTGCTCTGTCGTCTTCCATCTGTCTCACCCTCTGTCGCCTCCCTGTCTTCATCCTAATTTGTCTTTAGTCATGCTACTATTTCTTATATCTAATAAACAATGGCCTTCGCTCACTCGTTTTTTCAATCTTTCTCGCCAACATCCCATTTTCCCTCTTACCCTTCTTGCAATTTTGCGGTTTCTGCTCCGATCAGTGAAAGTGCGCTGCTGCTTTGCTTCTGGAATCGAGTTTATGTTTCAGTGGTATGTTCATTTCAAGTTTATATCGAGAAGATTAAGGTTAAGGGTACGTGTTTTTAATCCTTTTCCTACGAGTTTTAATGTGTTCACCATGTGTTTGAGTATACGCCTGAATGTCTGAAATAGTGTCACAGCCCTTATTGAACGTTTATAAGTGGACATGTACAAGCTCAAAGAAGATGGTATTTTCGTAGAGGTTGTAGGAGCCTTTTTTTTGTATATAATTTCATTTTTTTATGCATGCAAGTGAACTTACTACAAATATTTGGGGTGAAAAAACCAAGAGGTTATTTGTATTCCTAGGAAGCCCTGCCCACATCACCGTTCAATATTTCTTGGCCCACTATCGGCCAAACCACCTGGGGCACTAGGCTTATTGTGAGTCGGATCGCTTAGCCATGCTTCATAATTGGCAAAACGAGCCCCGTGGAGTTATGTAAATTCATAAGAGGGTATGAAACAAGTTTGTTCTATTTGTTTCGACTAGTTTTTAGTAAGAGATCATAAACATTCTTAGATTCTCGATGTCTTAATACAAAGGACTCTTTATTTGGACTATGTTAGCAGCTTAAATGGTTGCATAGTTGTTACACTCACTCTGTCTTAACACAAGGGCTGTTTGGTTAGAGGCATTGAGCAGCAATCAATGAATTGAAAAAAAAAAAAAAAAACTGTTTGGTTTTATATAATATAATGAGATCATTCCTCGTAAGCCCAAATTTTCATTCCGGATTAAACGAGAAGAATGTGTCATTATCATTTTTCATTCCTAACTCTGAACCAAACATCCCGTAAGCTTCTTTCTAGCGGGATAAAACTGTATAACCTTTCAGTTGAATTTTACTGGTGATCCCACAAACAAGTGGATGCATACCCAGTACGTGCTGGTGTGATTTAAGTATTTTGTATTATTGGATCTGTCTATGGTATATGCAATTTATGCCTGTGTTGAATTGTAGATATGAATTGAAATGCATACTCTAAGTTTGTCTTCTTTGTTCAAACAGGATTTCATACTAAGAAGCTTCAACTTCTTCTAAATGGCAATGTCACTGGAGGATCTTCTAGCCGAGGAGGGTTTTAAGGGAAGTAGCTCAAAGAGAATGACCAGAGCTTCATCTGGACCCTCTACAAGAAGAATTCCATCCTACCCAGCCCGGGATGAACATAAATCTGGTGCTGCAACTCGTTTGAGGAAGACGGATAGGGCGTATTCTGATGCGCGTCGATATGATTTGCGTGTTGAATCTCCAATAACTGATAGAGTCAAGAATAGGAGATCATTAGATATTCTCAAAATGGAAAAATTGGATAGAGGAGCAAGGAATGAACCCAAGGAGAGACATATTAGAAGAGGTTCTCAAGATACGCGGGATGTTACTGGATACAGTGTCGATTCGTCACAACAAATCTCGATCGATGAGATAGTCGAGGTCAAAGAAGGTATTCGGAGAGTTAAGGATGGAACGCTAGACAAAGGAGGGTACAAAGATATTTATTTAAATGGAGTCTTTAGCCCTCCAATAAGCAAAAATAAACAAAAGTATAGTCGAACCGGAGAAGAAGAGAGGTATGAGAACATTTCAGGTAAGGATGTGCAGATTGATGATGGCTATGCTAATGATTATGATAAACATCTTCCTGAGCTTGCTGGTTCTAGCGATAATTATCAAAAAGGTGGGAAGCAACCTGGTTCATCATCTAGCAGATCAAATAAAAGTACACACAACAAAGAAAATGTTCGTGACAGTAGGGTTCGCAAACCAGTTGAGATTGAATCTGTTGCTGAAGTAGCTCTAGATGATGTTGCCATAAAAGCAATGATATCTATTTTGAGTGGTTATATTAAATGTTTTCTCAAAGATCAGGACTTCAGGACATCACTGTATCACAATTGCTTTGCTGCCCTTAATTCTTCCAAGTTAGAAGAAGATATAGTTGCTGAAAGCAAAATTATATCCAACCTTGACCAAGCTATAGAAACAGTTGAAAAAGCTGCAGAGAAACGTGCTAATGCGAAAGAATTGAAAAAAGCTTCCTTGCAGCTTAGCGTGATCACAGGTCTAAATGCAAATGATTTGAAAGATGGATTTACATCTGGGATTCCCAACTCCATTTTGTCAGCTTGCGGTCACCTGTACTTAAGTGTGATATATCAGCTACAGAAGAAAGAGCGGATAGCAGCCAAGCATATCTTGCAAACTTTTTGTGATTCTCCATCTGCAGCACGGACCACGTTGGTACCTGAGTTGTGGGAAACTGTATTTCATCCTCATCTATCACATTTGGAAGTGTGGTACAACCAAGAAGTTCATTCTCTGGCGGATGACCCACACAACACGAGGAAGCTAAAGCAACTTAAGAAAGTGTATTATGAGATTTTAAATTCGGGTACTTACCAATTCGCATTGTACTACAAGGATTGGCTCACAGATGGTGTTGAAGCTCCATCAGTTCCTTCAATCCACGTTCCATCAGTTTCTGTTCAGGGAAATCAGCATGAGGGTGTAAGTGGACGCTCTTCAGACTTTGGTAGCCCATCATTTTCATCTCAGCCTATGGTCAGCAAGAAGTTATATGATTCTGTATTCGGGGGGATGCACAAACAAACAACTGCTGAAGCAGAAGACTATCACTATTCACAAAGGTCGGATGATGATAAATATAGCTTTGATGGGTCTGTAGTGGAAGATAAAAGGACGCTGACGCACTCTTTGGAAGAAGATGAATATGAGGATTTAGGTGTTAAAAGGGACAAGGAACCTTACCAGGCAAGTTTAATCCTAAATTTTGGTTCATCATTTAGCTTGTTGACAACTTGACACTAGGGACTACTCATTTCATGTTAATGACCAAAACTGGTTTCTAACTATGTCATGGGCAAACTTTGTTATCTTCTAATGTTCATGCAATATAATTGTAATATGAAACCTTAGATAAGGCTAAGTTAAGGGACAGCTGACACTTTATTTTCCCTTTATATATTTATCTTGCATAATTGTCATTATATTTGCATATACATCTAGCCATCTAACATACACATGCTCTATCATCTCGAATGTAGCAGGATGGAATAATAGGCCAAGAAGAACTGTTAGGAGGATTTGGAAACTTTACCCTGAAGCTAGAAGAATTGGGCAGCACTAGTATGTTACAATCGCTTCCAGTTTCTGAAGTCAATGAACTTACTCTCAAGAGGCTAGCAAAGTTTGTCTTTGGACTGCATCAAACTGAGAGATCTGTTGATGTTATTGAAACTAATCGGTTGTCACATTCAGACGATGCAATATATCCTGATTTTTCGGTAATTATATGGAAACAACTGTTGAACCTAAGGGAAATACTTTGTACAATACCCATTGTTTTTCATTCATCCTAATGCTATTTTATCTTCTTTGATGCAGCCAATCGTAACAAAGCCATTGGGTGAAGGTGGGAAACTAAGATTAGGTTAACCTTTTATTCTGGCTATTTGCATAATTTGCTTATCTATTCATTTTCCCATTGCAGTTCTGCCTGGGAACTATGCTGACGGAGGAGGACACTTTTTCTTGCATATCCCCCAGGATTATGTATGCCCTCTAACCAAACTTATTTTTGAAGATCCCGTGACCCTAGAAACTGGCCAAACCTATGAGCGTGCAGCTATCGTAGAATGGCTTAATAAGGGTAACACAACGTGTCCTGTAACTGGGAAAACACTGGAATGCCAAATTATGCCATTCACCAACTCTGTCTTGAAACGAGTCATTGATGGCTGGAAATCAAAGCACTCCAGGGAGATATTAGCTTCTGCTTCTCAGCCAGCAGGAAGCCCTGGGGAACAGAAATACAAGGCTGAAGCAGCTGTTTTCATATTAGAGCAGCTTCTTACTGTTTTTGGTACAGAGGAAAATACAGCAAACGCGAAGCATCTACTTGCTCTTGGGGGTTTACAGTTTCTCATTCGAAGATTTGCATATGGAAATTTGGATGAAAGGTCTCGTGTAGCAGCGTTGCTGTCCCACTGTATTAAAGCAGACTCTGGTTGCCGAAATCATGTGGCCAGACACATTGAAAAGCAGGGTCTGCTTGAGCTACTGCACTGTAAGGGAATAAAGTCAAGAGCAAACGCTGTGTTTCTTCTATTTGATCTGATTTGTCTGAACAGGTATTTCAGCTTCAAACTTCTGCGTTTTTCAGATTTTTTCTATTATGTAAACTTTCTTTCATCTAAATATTCCTCTAGAATAGCAAATGTTCCATAAATTTATTTACTATTGTTTATATTTTTTATTCGTGAAAACGATCTATATGATATGAATTTTTTCCAGTTGATTTGCTGTATATGGAAATAATCTTTATATGATAATCAAGTATTTCTGTTGATCAGATCATAAACTTTGAAATGCAACATACTTCATGTTGTTAAACTGACAACTTTTGTCCATGTTTTGTCACTCTAGGAGAAAAGATGCCCGTTTTTTCTTAAATGGCCTGCATAAGGAACGTATAGTGAGCTCAATGCACATTTTGCTACTCTTTCTTCAGAGTTGTTCACCCGAGCAAAGGCCCTTGGTTGCCGTGCTCCTGTTGCACCTGGATCTTATGGTATGTTTATTCGTTTTTTTCTGCATGTTTTGCTATTACTCTTAAAGAAGCTTCTACCTGTACCATCGTTATCTGTTTGCAGCTTCTTACTTCTGTTTTGAAATCAAATGGTCATTAAATTTGATAACTTATAGGTTCGATATTAGTTGGCCTTTTTTTAAGTTTTAGGGTAGTTTTTTTTTTTCATGTTAAAGACTAAAGGGCATATGATCACAAGGAACCAACTGTTTTATTATCCTTTTCGTAGACAATACACGTCATAATTTTAAGCTCTCTAAAACAATTCATCACAATAGTTCATTGGAAAAATTTGTGGTTATTCGTAAATCAAAAGGTAGTGATAAATTATGATACTATAAGACTTGTACATGAGAGCATGCGAACTTGTTTGTCACTCAGTTAGAGTTCCTCTGTTGAGAGAATACTAGAATTAGTAAATACATGTGCAAACATTTTATTGTAAGATGTCTGTATTCCAACTGACAGGCAGATGTAGATCAACAGAAGTACAGTATATATAGAGAGGAAGCTGTCGATACCATTTCATCTGCTCTGGATACCAGCCTTTCTAATGAAAAGGTCCGAGAAACATGTTGCAGTGCACTCCTTATCCTGGGAGGGCATATCTCTTACTCTGGGAAGGTAGTGACAGAGGATTGGATCCTAAAGAATGCTGGTTTCTTTGATAGACCTGAGTCAGATGCTCTAGATGACAAAATCTCAATCAAAGATAACATTTTGCTGGTAATTTCTTTTCTCTTTCTGAAGTTCAGTGATCCTTCGTCAGTACCCTCCATATCTGGGAAAAAATTGTTACACTATTATGTCATCAGGATTGTTTTAGTTCATGCAATTATATGGTTTTTGGGTACTGTATATATAACTAAAATATGCACTTTTTGGTAGCTCTACTCGAATAAGTCTTTACCAATCGGCTTTATCAGTCCAAACTTTATTCTGCTTAAATAGAAGTTCTATAACCACACTACCACAGTGTTGATACTTCCAACTTTCTCTATCCCTGGCCTTGAGCAGTAAAATCACTCGTTTTAGATGACCTCTTTGCTTTCTGACATATTAGCCATTTTGAATGTCTTTCACCTTAACTGGATGTCAGTGGAAGTATATATTGTAGTCAGTCTGTTTGCTTTAGTTTCAAGCGCTGGTCATCTTGATATCGTTGTGGAAACACCACCCCCTTTCCGTTGGGGCAATTCAGCGGGACCTGGTCATCTTGATATGGGCACACTGATCAGCCATATTTCGGTCCAAAATGACAGGGTTTAGTTTTTCTTTTTAAAGTATTATTGGTTATGGCATGTAGGATAATGACGAGGAAGAGGCTGTTGAAGATTGGTTGATGAAATTGTCAGCATCTCTTCTTGGTGATGGGAAGAAGTCGTTTTTAGATTCACTTTCCCAGTGTTTGAGTTCTGGACACCAAGATATGACTATGGCGGGTTTGACAACAGTGGCGTGGTTCAGCTCTTCACTTGTTTCATTACCTGGTTCTGAATCCCAGCTCTCTTCATTCTCAGTTCTTATCCCTAAACTGAAAGAACACCTTAAAAATAGCGAATGGTTAGAGCACAAGATTCTTGCTGCGATGTCTCTGCTTAATTTTAGCAAAATCCCAGGTTAGCATTTTCTTCCAACTCTTGCCATTTTTAGTTTATATTACCTAAAAATCTAACAAAATTAACTGTGCCATATGGGTAGCTTGTGAAGGAAAGAGATCTTTGGGATATTCTGTACCTGACTACTGTTTTCCATACTGAATTTCCAATGCATTCACTCTATTTTACATCCCCTAGTCTTCATATGGTAGCTTATGAAGGAAAATGTGATAGAGGTGTCGTTTGTGGGTCCCATTTCCTCTTTCCCGTTAGTTTGTGGGTCCCATTTCCTCTTTCCCGTTAGTTTGTGGGTCCCATTTCCTCTTTCCCGTTAGTTTGTGGGTCCCATTTCCTCTTTCCTCTTGATTTATGAGACCCACAAAAGAAATGTTCTCAAATCAATGAACATAAAAGGGAATGGGGCGCACAAAAATTTACTGCATAGAACATTTCTTTTGTTATTGTGGAAACATGTATGATAATTTCCAAGTCTCTATGAATTGAGGATTTACAAGATGAACTGTGAATGGATACAGATTGCATGAACCTATTGATGAGAATGGCCGATGAGATTGCATCTCCTCTTAGGAACCTTTCAGAAGCAAGCTGGATGGCGAAAGAATTGCATGCCTTCATCTCTCAGGAAGATCTGTGATCAATCTTCTTTAAGCAATTGCCCTTTTCCAACATAGCCTTTCTTATTTTCTGATTAAGGTCGATCATATTGCCACCATGATCCTGCATCATCTTCTTAAAACTAGCAGGATTTATCATGGTCATGGACCGACAAAAATACATCAGAGTTTGGCGTTCTGTGCTAGTCTGTGCATGACCCTTGGCGTACGTATGGTTGGTTATGGCAATCTCTACTTGTGAATGGGATGGTGACTTCGCCTAGCATCCACAGCTACTTCTTGTCTGTTGATTTGTGGCGATTTCATATGTAAATGTGTTAATAGACTACCACCCATCTGTTTTCAATTGGGTTTGATCCTGTTTTTGTACTGTACAATTCCTATATATATATATAAATCTGATTTTTGATGTAGAACTTGAAGATAGTTTCTGGAAATGTAACGTTCAGCTGCATGTTGGCAAAATAGATATAGTTAAAGTGGTATTGTATTTTAAAAAAAAAATTATCACATACTTGGAATAAAAAACTGTTCATCAACCCTTAGGAACGCACGATTAACAATATTTTCTTTTAGTTCTGATCAAATCAACTAATAGAAATGGTTAAACAGAGACAAAAAGATTAGAAAGAATCTTTCAATTATAGAATATAGAGTGAGGTCGAGAGACAACCTCAAAAAAAATAAAACTGAAAAACACTCTAATAATCATTAATATGTATGGTGTACAAATGTATATAGAAGCAATTGAGGATGTTTCTTGGTTTTTATGTACATATGCGTATCAGACAAATTACTTGTATGCACGTGTGAATATCGTACAGAATAAATTAATAATGGTTACTAAAGTGTTCCTCAATTTTCAGTTTTTTTGTGGTTTTCTTGTGAACCTAACTCATAGCATATAAATCTTAATATATTAGATAATTTGATTAAAATTGGATAAAAATAATATTTAATATAAAAGAATAAACGTATGGGTTGTATTGTTTGTACCCATCCAAAAATGGGAGGTAAAAGTAAAACACGATCACCTTTGGACCTGCTCAATCTCTACTACTCTTCGTTCTCCATATTATATATCAAGTGGTTTGACAATTAAGTATTTAGTGGTATATTGTTAAAAAAGTATATTGAAAATCTTCCGCTACAATTGATTAATAGTAGTATGTTAACACGTAACAATCTTGGAAAATAAAAGGTGTGACAAAACACCATTTTTTTTTTGTAAGGGTATCCGGGCCAAAGCCCGACTAATCCCCGGCAAATTTGGAGGCTAAACATGGCCCCACTTAAATGTCGCCAACACTCCCCTCCCAGGGCTCGAACTCAGGTTCATGACTATGCCATGCCCAAGCCTTTACCACTAGGCTGTAAGGTCTTTGACAACACCAATCTTATTGTAACATCATACATCAGCTAATGGATGGGGACAAAGATTGTCTTATAAAGGATTAAATATGTCCTTTATCATATGCGTTTCAAAAACCATAAGTTCAAGTGTGAACAAAACAGACAATATGTGTATATTTTACCCCCCTTGGATGTAAACTTTTCGGGTGCTTATTTTAAAAAACAAAAGTCCCTTTCATTCACACTAACAAGTACCCAACACTTGCACATTCATTTTACACATCACAACCACACAACACACCCAAAACCCCACCCCACACCTAAACAGACTCCGTAACTCTCCTAGACTTGATCACAACTTAATTATTCTTGTACCAAAACACACCTCCCTTCGCTTCATCTGCTTCCACAAACAGACACTCCTTTGCGTCTCTCCACATCGCTACATAAAATGGGGTTCCATCAAACTGATAATACTCCCCCAGCAAACCCTTCACCGCTTTCGTTGCCTCCATCGCATGATAATGAGGCATTGTCGAGAACAGATGGTGCACCACGTGCGTGTCTGTGATGTTATGGAACACCTTGTTCAGCACACCGTAGTCTCGGTCCACTGTTGCCAATGCTCCTCTCAGCCAGTCCCATTCTGACCCATCGTAGTGAGGCAATGAAGGGTGCGTATGTTGAAGGAATGTGATCAACACTAGGAATCCGTTCACGATCATCAGTGGGATCCCGTAGACGCAGATCACCCAACTCACGCCTTTTACTAGCGCAACACGATAAAGGATGAATGACATGGTGACAATTCCCACGTCAGAAAGCCAAATTTGGAGGCGTTCGCGATGGTTGTATATCGGGCTGTTAGGAGCGTAGTGGCAGGCGAAACGGTTGTAGGGTCTTCCAGACACGTTGAAAGACAAGTACAAGGGCCAGCCGAGAGTGAGAGTGGCGAACAGGCTGAGGATACGGCCTGGTGGGTTGTTCAAGTACTTTGAGTACCAAGGGAGTTTTGATCTGGGCTTTGGGACAAAGACTTCATCGCGCTCGAGTGATGCGGTGTTGGAGTGGTGGCGCCGATGACTGTATTTCCATGAGAAGTAGGGGACGAGTAAAAGGGAGTGGAGTATGAAGCCCACGCTGTCGTCAACCCATTGATAATCACTAAAGGCATGGTGGCCACATTCGTGGGCTACGACCCAAACTCCAGTGAGCACGCAACCTTGGACGATCCAGTAAGCCAGCCATGCGAGGGAGGAGAAAGGGGTTGGCAGATGGTGGAAGTAGGTGGTGGCAAGGTAGTAGAGGACAAAAGTTACAGCAAGGTCATAGACAACATAAGAGAAGGAACGGATAAGGGAACGCTGGAAACAGTGTGGAGGAATGGCTTTCTTGATGTCGCTTATTGTGAAAGGAGGTTTTACAGAAGGGACTCGCTCGAGAGGGTTCTTTTCTTTAGCTTTGGTCTCGGACACAGGCATACACCCTCCTCCTCCCATTTTGCTTTCAACCTGCAAAATGTTCGATATGGCTCAGTTCGTAGGTGGACGTCTAGTTTTTGGCTAAAGACGAATATGTTATGTAAGTCCTTCAAAGGTGAATATTATGTAATGCCACCATCACAAGATTTTTTAGCTGTACAACATAAATAGAAACGAAGGAAACGTTGGCCTTAAGATTCGAAAATTTATTGTTTAAATTACAATGATGTTAACTCATCGACCATCAAATATTTAGACAAGTTGGGGATAAATGAACATCAATCATGAAAAGTACCTATTGAAGGTACATTCAACACAATCGACATCGACAAAAAACATTTGATCTCAATCAAACATTCAATGAACTGAAAAGTGCTTATATCTTTAAGCAATTGCCATTTGTCAATGAGATATATCAGTACTTTTCTATAATATTAAGGAATTCGTCAAAGGAAATCTAGAAGTCCTTCCAAAGCAAAGTGATGCCTAATCGCCAAGAATGTAAATTAGATTTGCAACACAAACGTACGATTTATTATATCCTCAGACTTACGGAATTAAAAACACCAATCCGGCCGATCGAGAAGCCAATCGTCATCAATTATAAATATAAATTATTTTGTTTAGCATTTAACGAAAACGTACGGTAGATACCATAATCGAAACTTAATAACCTAATAACACAAATCCAAACAAGCAGCCGTAAATTATGAATTTTCATTTTTATATCTGAAGGAAACAAAATTACATGCAACACAGACAAATGCACAGATTTACAGAAAACAGAGTGAAATGAATAGAACTAAAAGCGCACAGGACCGTAATCCACAGATGTATTCATCAATCAACAATGCAGCTGAATCAACCTATAACTAAAAAAACGATAATCGTCGATTTTTAAAAGGAAATCATCGAACCATAATTCATATACATCGATCAGCTCAAAAGAAAAAAAAGGTTGAGAGAATGCACCTGAATCGATATCGCTACAGAGCCGTGGGGTTTTCACTCGAACCAACTCTCCCGGAAGCGCTTACTCTCTCAATCTCCTCTCTGCGAGCGAAGAAGTGCTTCTTCGTCTCCGTTCACAAAATGCGTATAGTTGCTGGTTTAAATAAAGGAAACTTTTCATAAGATACCCCTCATGTTTTATAAACTTGTCGAAGAAAACCTTGATAAAAAAAATTGGCCAAACAAGTACATATATTTCTGGAAAATTATTAAATTTAACCCTTTGCATAGAATTGGTTGGACATATCATATACTTTCCTAAGTGGTAAAAATGTATTCTCTCAATCTCAAGATTATGAAAGATTAGTGCTTAAACACTAATGTTATATTTGTCACGAAAAAAATACAAATTATAAAAATTGTCTTGTAAAGACTCTGGATATCGTCCATAAATTTTGGAAATTACGATGATTGTCATTGGGGTTTGCATTTCATTATGGTTTTTGTTACTGATCTCAATGTTTGTTAGTTGCTCTTGTTAATTGCTCTCACGTACTAGTCATGTGAGGGGCATATTGGTCTTTTTGCTTTACTATTGTCAAAAGTGTACGAGTCTTTGAAGCTATGTAGAAGTCACTAAACCATTTAAAAGAATAAACATTTCTCCTCAATCAAACCCTGTCCCAACCACTGTCATGTTCATTTTTTTCAGCAACTGCAACTCCCTCAGCTCCATCTTTAACCTCAATTTTCAACCTTGGAAACTTGAGATTCTGAAACTCAAAGCAACACCTAAGAGGCTAAGAGTGTGAGGAAAGAGNGGGGGGGGGGGGGGGGGGGGGGTAAAGAAAGGATCGCAGAGGGAGAAGAGATAGAAAGTCTCATAGTGTGAGAGATAGTATGGAGATCAGGGGGAGTTGCAGTCCTCAGAGTTAGGGGAAGGTAGCTTTAGTATTTATTTGTTTTAAATGCTTCAAAAACTTGTATATATTTTTCAAAGACTTGTATCTGAAAAAATTATGAAAGAAATTTGGTAATGACTAGAATACCCCTTACGTGAGGACACTTTACGGCACTGGATAACGAACGTTATGGTCATAGACGATTTCCATAGTAAATACAAAGTATAATGACAGTTCTTGTAATTTTCAAAAGTTGTGGACGAAACCCAAGGTTCTATGAAGCTCGGGGACAAATTTTTTAATTCAGTTAAAAAGAAATTTTGATATGTATTTAAAGGGAAAGTTAAAAAAAACCCAACAAATTTTTTCATTTTTAATGGTTTAGTTTATGCACTATTTTTTTTAATAAATAAAACATTAAATTTTCTCATTTTAAGTGATTAAGTCCCTAAACTATTTTTTAATGAAAAAATCATTAAATTTTTTCTTTTGAATGAAAAAATCATTAAACTTTCTCATTTTGATTATTTAAGTCCTTGAATGTTTTTTTAATATATAAACCATCGCACTTTTAAAATTTGGTTACCTACATTCTTTTAACAAAAAAAAAGTACATTAAAAAACCAGTAAAAGTTTGATGGTTTATTTATTTATTTTAAAAAATTCAGATGCTTAATCATCCAAAATATAAAATTTTAATAGTTTTTCCATTTAAAAAAAATAGTTCCAGAATTTATCATTGAAAATAAAATAGTTTAATAATTTTTTTCATTTAAAAAAAATAGTTTAAAAACTAAAGCATAAAAATTTCTTTGGTTTTTTTAGTACTTTTTCCTATATTTAAACCACAAACCATCTACCTATAAAAATCTTTAGATGACATGGTTTTGTAGATAATAATGAAAATAACCCTTTAGAATAGGTTATTTATAATTTTAACTCTAAAATTAAATTTTCTAATGAAATAGCAATCTGTTATCTTATTAACACTGTTAGGTGCGTACAAGGATCAATGTGCAGCTTCCTCCTTCACAATATAATATTATTCAATTTTCTCTTTTCCAATGTAACATTATTCAAAAAAAAAAATTAGATTTTTTTTTTGAAATTGAAAAAACTATTAAACTTTCCCAATATAACTTTTATAAATTGCACATTAGTCCATGTACGCACCTAATGGTGCTAACAGATTAACATATGGCTATTTCGTTAGAAAATCTAATTTTAGGATTAAAATTGTAAATAACTTATTCTAAAGGGTTATTTTCGTCAATATTCCCATGGTTTTGTCCGTTGCTATTTATGATTGTTACAGAGGAATTATTAATCATTATAAAATACTGCTAAAATTAATTTCAATTAGAATTTTTTTTATATAATTTATCAACAGATAAAGTGAGATTATTATATAGATTGTCAAACAAATATTATTAAATTATATACTCTATTCATTTTATGAAAGAACATTAAAATATATAATTTTAAAATAAGATTTTAATTAAATTCATAATTTTTAGAACATAAAATCATTTTTTTAATAGTTCAAAAGATTATATATCTAATTAAAATATCAACCTTATTCAGAATAAAAATAATAACTGAAAATTATGCTATATTAGATTTCAAAGATCAATTTTGGCCATGTGAATTATGAAATTATCTTAATTATATATACAAATATAAAAAAAATTAGATGTAATTGAAAAAACTGTAAATAGACAAATGACTAAAAATGTCACAAATGTATTAGTTGAGGGTTTTCTTTACAAGTTGTGAAAAATTTCAGGGGCTTTCTGAAACTTTCGTATACAAAAAACCAAGAAGAAAAGCCTGGGGTCCAGTGGCGGTAGGACCGGAGCTTAATTATTCAGCAGTGAAGCATGCATAGATCTCCACGCGTGTAGGTGATTCTCACACGTCACCACTGTGTCGAAGTCAATTGGCAACTAGTATTTATAAATGGACGGTTGAGGTGTTTTTACGTACAGAATAAAGGTATAAAACCGGAGGTGATGCCTTCCGAAACAGAAAGATCGCGTCCTTTACCGGTTGCAGGTTTATGTCCAAGAGGTAATGGGAAGGAAGCTGTATAAGGATGTCTTAATAACTTATCTGATTCAATTTAAACCGATTGATTCGATTATAATCGATCGATCGATCATAATTAGATATCCAATTGACTGGATCTAGAATTTTAATATCTGAATTGAATCGGTTGATTTTTGGATGACAGTTTATAATTCAATAAAAATGAAATCATCAAATTCAATGACCATCTAATTATCATCCAATTAATAACTATTAACGTTTTTTTTAGTGATTTTTAATAAATTATGAAAATATATAAATAATTGGATGAAACATTAATTAATAAGTTGAAAATTTTATCAATATTATGGATGCATCCAATCCGATCCGATGGATAACATACTAATATTTAATGGATGGAACCAATTCAATCTGATGGATAACATACTAATATCTAATAGATGAAACCAATCTGATCCAAACATCCGTTGGATTGAATTAGATCGGATAATAAAATCCGATGTCCGTCAATCGGATCAAATCCGCCTAAATTTATTGTATTTCAACTGATGAACAACCCTAAATAAAGGTTTTGTTCTAATAAAAATTTTATATGGTTTTTAAATGTAAATTTGGGAATTTCAAGTTTTGAGATTTTCTTAAAATTTAATGAGAGGGAGAGAGAAACTTTTTGGTTTATTTTCTATCCATGAGAATGAACTATTATTAAGATATAAGAATATAAAATATTTTAGTAATATAATTAATATCGTATTTTTTAATTAGAAAATATTTTTCGGAGATTTCATTTTTAATTCTTTATCTTAAAAAGTTACAGAGAATCTGTTGAATATGTTCTAAATTAATTGTAATATATTTACTGATAATAAAAATTATTTATAGAGTAAATTACAGGTTTGATCCATATAGTTTGTTTATTCCAAAATTGCTATTTTAATTTGCCGTTTTATTCGATTTTGTCTCCTAAACATCGATCTAATTTCAGTCGTTAAGTCCTTTCACTTAAGGCTTTGTTTAACAAACTAGTTGATAAGGTAACTGGTTGATGATAATGCAATTGACGAATTAACCACGTTTGCATAAAATAACTTATAAACTTGTTGAAAAATGCAAAAAAAAAAATGTTAAAAATTTAATCAATTTTAACATTTCATAATATATATAAAACAAATCATTAATAAAATGTTAAATGGTAAAAAAAAAAAATAAGAATATGATATGTTAATTAATTTTGTCTCCTAAACATCTATCAACTTTCCACCGTTAGGCGTTAAGTGTTCTCACTTAAGACTTCATTTGACAAAGTAGTTGATAAGTTAGTTAATGGATAATAAACTAACTAGAACTAATCATGTTTAGCAAAATTTAGCTGATAAACTAGTTGAAAAATGCAAAAAAAAAAAAAATTAAAAAATTAGTCAATTTTAATATTTTATGATACAAAAAAATCATTAACAACATGCTAGATGGTAAAAATAAAAATATAATATGTTGATTAATTTTGTCTCTTAAACATCTAGCTACTTTCAGCCATTATTTAAAGCTTTGTCCGACAAACTAATTGATAAATTACCTGATGAACTAATTATATTTGACAAAAATTAGCTAATAAACTAGTTGAAAATGCAAAAAAAAAAATGTTAACAAATTAGTCAATTTTAACATTTCAGAATATATAAAACAAATCATTAGAATAAGGTAGATGGATAATATGTTATTAATAAACATTTCATTTGACTTAATCGGATTTTTATAACTAAATACGAATATTTATAATAAATTATTAAAAGGTATTAAAATAATAATAAAATTAAATATCTTATTAAAATTTTTATCAAGATTTTATTTTTCGTAAAATATAATTTTATGTTTTTTTTATAAATTTGCTATATGTTCTTACATATTAAACGATAATAATATAAACATAATTGATAAGATTAATAACAATGAATATTAATGAATAACTTAGAATTAAAATTTAATTAATAATTAGAAATTGGTATTAATTAGTAATTAGTATTAATAATTAATATCAATTAATATTGTTTAATAGTTTGAAAGTAATACTAATTAATATTTATATTTGTTTATTATTATTAATTAATACTAATTACATGTATAATTGAAAATAAGTAATAAAAATCTTATGAAATTTATTAAAATATTATCTTGAATAGTGTTTAAATAAACTAGCTTATAAACTATTTTTAATTTTAGATAAACAGAACTTCTACAATAACCTTATAAAAATAAACTAACTTATGATTGTTATAATGTTCAAAACATCAATACAGCTATTTTACATTTAAAATGGGACATGACACTATCATGGTTTATTAATGTTTTCTAATTTATGATTTTGAGTAAGCTACAAAAACAGTCCCTTGAGATTTTTATCATTTTATGAAAGATCTGGTTTTTCCATAATTTTTTAAATTGCATGGAACGCCATCAAGGTTTTAATTTTGTTGCTGTTTTAGTCCATAGCCATTTGGGTCATTAAATGTTGCATTCTATGACCAAAATGCCCTTCACTTTACATTCTAGAAGAAAGCAGGGTCGCATAAGCCCTTTGTGTTGTCTCTATATAACATACTTTCTTAAGTTTTTACTAGAAGATTTAGAAAGGGTAAAATGACAAAAAATGCCACTCATTTTTAACGGATCAAACTTCACACTATTAAGACAAGGGACCATTCAGTTTATACTCACAACCAATGGCAAATAAGACGCAATAGATTCATGAAACGATTACAAATGAACAACAAAATGCATGCTTAGGAATAAACATGAAGTGGTTACAACTAGTATTGTAATTAATGTCGAGTTTTACCACTCTGGCCTAAAAGTTTTTAAGGCTATGCCCTAGCAACTGCTGCACGCATGCTAATATATCTAACATCTGTCTATATGTACATCCCAAAAGATTTTAACATTTACCTGAAATGAAACCAAAAACCACATCTTCTACCAATTTAAGCCCATCTTTGTTCTTTTTTCAATAGCATTTCTTGATGATCACCACCACAAGGATTCAACTTGATCCTATGAGGCATCAGCTCCAAACCTTCACCCACTAAACTCTTCATCAACTGCATTTTCCTCGGCATAATATGTTCGATTCAGTTATATCATTTTCATCTCTCCTCACATCAAGTACATAAGATCTATACTCGTATAAATAAATGAGATCCACAAAATGTAAATCTTAAATACCATGAACTAATATGACCCATTTGGTTTTGGAAAGTATGAGGATGTGATTCTTTCAACTAATAGTACAAGTTTAACAATTAAATGCATTCTAGAAGTAATGTCTGTACTATCCAGTCATTGAAGTCAAACCTAAAGATGAAGTGACAGTATGCCACTTTCCCCAGCATTATCGGGCTTTATAGGTAATTACATTACCATCAAGCTCCATACTTGGTTTTCATACATGGAATCCATCTTAATTGTCATAGCATCAGGCATCTAACCATTTATGGGAGTCAACAATTTGGTTTTGAAAAGTATGAGATGGGATTTATTTTAAATGCAAGGCTTTCCATTGATGATGCAAGATTAACTATTAGATGCAATCTAGAAGTAATGTTTGTACCTTCCAGTCATTGAAGTCAAACCTAAAGATGAAGTGACAATATGCCACTTCCCCCGACGTGATTGTGCAAGGAGCAGGAGCGTTCCTTGGTGCTGAATACGGAAATACAAACAGAGAAATTGTGAAAACAAGAAATGCGCATAGAAAAGAAAAGATGACAATCTAGTACTTCCATAAAATACATACACGCATGATGACAGCCTTTCTTATCCACCGATATCCTAACTCTCCCATCTTTCACCAGAAAGGAGAAAGCAAACAGATTCTCCACAGTTTGTGCAAATGAGAACCTATTTAGCATGAGGTACTCAACACGAACATTTGTGTTGCTTCTAAGAATATCAAACATCGTTGCAATAACCTTCTCAGTTTCTGTCTTCTCTTTAGAGATGGTACCCTCAAGCTGTGAAAAAGGAAACTAATATTAACACTTGCAAATAATTAACATTGAATAATTTCTTATCATTTAACAAAGCTAAACAATTTTTTTGAAAAGAACATAACATTAATTAACATGCATAAGAATCAGCAAGAATTGGACATATTGTCCCCATGAGGTAATGACAAACATCACATACTTCTTCCGGTTTCACCTTCTCTTCCTTCACAGATCTCCTTCGGCGTTTTCGCATGACTAGTGGTTTAGTTTCATACCTCATGGGTCCAAGCCTTCATGGAGAATCATAAATGATAAAAAAAAATAGAATGAACTGAAACTATTAGTATACTGAAATAGATCACCAACACATTAAGCTGATGTTAGGTTCAAGAACTCACATGGTGCAGGAACCGTTAGAAACCATGAACATTGGAGAAACATGCAAACCAATATCTTTCCAGAGAATCTGGACAGTTTCTGTGATCCCTATCATCCCTTTCTGACCATATTCAGTTATCAAACTCGAGACAAATACAGATGAAGTTACACTTCCGGTGCTTTGCACCCTAATGGAAGCCACCAAGGTGTTAGCCAGGTCACGTAGAGCCTCTGCATCAGATACTTGCTCTCTTGGTTTCTTAACTACAGAAGCCAAATAGTTATAACAGAACTTGCAAACTATAAACACTCCTACCATACTATATCTTCAATGTAACAAGGCACCAAGATAATAAAAAATACCAATTCTTGGAAGTAAAGCAACCAATCAAGAAAATTCAAACTAAAAACAAACATTCAAACACTGCTTTGATCATTGCAATCAAAACATTGTACTCCATAATTAAAATATGGACGTAGTTACAAAATGCTGCCCATGAACGGATGAACCCCATTTCACAAGCTCCTTACCTTTGCAAGGTTAGCAAAGAGATTGCCTTCATGAATTAATTTTAGAGTTCGGATAAGTCCATTCAAAATCAGTAATTGTAATTGTAACATATTTAGGAATCATGGAGTACCAAAATAAAGAGTTCTCGTTTTTTCATTTTTCAAACTAGCGTATTTGGTTTTCTATTGCAAACAAACTATTACACTGCTAATAAAATAAAGCAAAAGCAAAATTTATCCAACACTGAAAACTACATTGTGTTTTGGCATTTTGTATGTTTGATCCAAAAACCAATCACAAGTGGAATAACAAGTCACAGATTCCAAGAAAATAGTTTGACCAAATTTACAGTGTTCAAGTATAACCAAAGGGGCTTTGGCGTAGCTGTATTAAGAGACTGTTGAAGGGTTCAAACCTCACCAAATGTGAGAGATGTGTCCCTGAGTTCATTTGTCATATATAGTAAGTATTTATATACTTAGAAAAAAGTATATGTAGGACAAACCAAACAAACTGTAACTTGCTCGAAAAAGATGAAAGTGGCAGGACATCTTCCATTAAATAATTAAATACAAATAATACCGGTAATCATACAAAATTTATGATCAAGGAAGTTATAAAGCACGAAACAACAGAGCGGTGAGTATTACCCAGATGATGCATTTCGTTGACCTCATCGATGATGGATTGGAATTTCTTGGAAGTAGGAGCTGCTATCTCATATCTTTTGTCTAACAAATGATATCCAGAATCAAAGTAACTCATCAATAAACGTAATCAACAAATATTGTAGATATTTTGAAAATAAACAATGACAAGTACCACGAATGAGATTCTGAATCGTTAGATAACCGGAACGAAGAAATCTGCGCTCGGTATAGGCCTGATCATCCGTCTGATCGGTAACAATACCATCAAAATCCTTCCTTTTATTCTGTGGCTTCTTCCGATCACCAGTTTTGTACATCGTTTACTTGGAGAATCTTCGGTTTGAACTTGGAAGTGAAATAAACCCTAATGACTTCGTCGGTACGTTTTCCCTATTCTTACGTGTCATTTCCCGCGTGTTCTCTCTGCGGAAAACAAAAATGGAATTTGAATTAAAAAAATATTTTGAATTAAAACTTCATAAAAGAAATGTATCAATAATAATGACGTGGAATTGAAAATATTTTCCCCAATGTCCTAAAAGAAGATGAAATATCAATTTTTAAATAATCATTTATATGATACTAGAACAAACATTATTATTTATTTATAGCATCTTCAACAATTATATCAAATGGAAAAAATAAGATTTAGCAATTCTTTTGCTCTAACAATTACGTTACCTTATCTATACTATATTATAAAGCATTTGACAAAAACTCTTAAAAAATAATTTTTTATACATAAAGTATTGTATATTGATGCATATTACTTAAAATTCAAGATTACAAGTAAATTATGCATAAGTACTACTTATTAAAACTCCATGTTTGAATTCGTGTAACTAAATATGGATAAACATAATCAAATAAAGAATAAACATCTCATTTTAAAATATAAAAAAATCTAAAATATAATTAGGATAATTATCGAGTTTTAACAAAATAATTAACTATTATCTTTATAAGAAAATTATATTACTAAACCAAATATAAATTACTTCGTTATTGAACTTAAATTAAATTATAATTAAAAATCTTGAATTAAAAAAAATGAACAATTTTAAATAGTTAATTTGATACTAATATCGATATAATTTTGTCAATTTTTTATGATATCTTTAAATTTATATTTTATTCAAAAATAAAAACATCATCGTTTTTTCAAAATCACATAAGACCATATTATAACATCCATTAAGATAAAAAAAAATGAAATATCAAACTCAAGATGTATCTCGCTGCATTGCACGAGTATCCTTCTAGTATATTAAAATAAAGAAAAGAAGAGAGAAGGTAAAAATCTATATTTTGTAAGAAATATCTCAAACTCCATGTTGAAGAGGGTTAAATAATATTTAATTTTTTCTCATCAACACGGGATATTGAAATTAAATGTATACGAAAGAGAAAAATAATAATTTTATTAAACGTATTAAAATTTTTAATAATATAATTAAGAGTTTTTCACCCAAATGATCATTTCGCTCATCCAAATTGGTCATTTAAACCATTTTTCTCTTGGCTTTCTGTATAAGATACTCGTATAAGCTTATTGAACAAGTCACATTCTATATCATTAAGCCACTAACAAACAATTTTGTATCTATGATCGAATAAGCTACAAGTCTCGTTAAATTGTTAACAAACAAGCCTTTATTCTACTAAATTATCTTTACACATAAATTTCAGTTAACAATCTCAAGAAATTACGGTCTTTTAATTTGTTCCATCTAAGATCGAAAATTGACCCACGTTACATGTTTGATAAAAATAGCAAAGCAAATTTTGTTCCATTACTTTTGGTATGAATTTCATATTCATTGTATTCCCATTTAGCAAACAACAGAACATCAGTGAAACAATGATTCAAACATTGCCAAATCAAACCCCTCCCTCCAAAAAAAAAAACTTTAGCATTTACGATAGATAACACTCAACACATCTTTCTAAATCTTTGCTGACCCAAAAAACTATAACAGGTAAAACAATTAACAAAATATTTGTTTACCCGCTTTATTACTGTTGAATCGTTTTTTCAGACGATAATTAAGCATTACAAGTAGATACAGGATCTAACATGAGTCATAAATTTATATAAAAACATGTTTGAAAAGTAACATAGCTTTGCCCAGCTAGATTGAGCTGTGGGTGTTTGTACTTTTGGCATCTTTTAGTTAGTGAAATCAAAGATTTTAAATAGACAAGAGGGTAATTGGCCATTATCATGTGTTGAAATCACATGATCACACATGTTATTTATTATTCTATCAAGATTTGTGTTCCATTTAGAAAGAAAAATGAGTATGAGTCAAATCTGGTTCACATGATAACCTCCTGAAACTTTCCAACTTGTTAAACAACAATCAAGGACATGACTCACTCACTTCAGATTACTCATACCAAACCTCTATCTCATAAAGGGGTTATTTACCAAACACTTACTTGGTAAGCGGTTATCAATAAAATTCGACACTATCATTTGCTTATCGGGTAAGTTTTCAGTCAACAAAAACGACATCTTATACAACAATTTACCCGGTAAGCACTAATCCTAGTAAAAATCATCGCTCTCACTTATTGTTAATAATATGATGCAAATGCAAAAAGACGTACAAAACCTTTGACAAACTTCAAAGTGGTATATTTCCTTAAAATGTTATATTTTCATTTTATTTTATTTTCATATTATAATAATAAAAAGCCAAATTTACACATGCATTTGTCAGACTTGAGCACAAGCTGAATCCAAACCCCATATTTTCCTATCCTTCTTAAGAAGAGATATTCCATGTGAAGTCTTAACTTCCATCTTATTTTCACCATTATCAGACACCCATAACACAGAAGTTAATTAACCATGAGTTGCAAACCATTAATGTTCTTCCTCTTCTTCTTCATCTTCTTTCATCATCTGTTTTCGATATCGTTCACCTACGAAAGACAGATTCTTCCCACAGAAAGATTTCGACCAAGAAGATCGATGATCATGGCAGCTTCATCTTTCACCTCGCTTTCTACAGATCCGTCCAAGCGTAAAGGTGCAGCCATGAACGAACCACAGACATCGGTTGAAGATAGTTTGAGAAGGCGGCCACCTAGCGCATCGAACCCGTCACATAACTAGTCGTATATATATCTTCGTAGATCTTTAATAGTAATTTCTGTATAAATCGATCAAGAAAGAAAGAGAATCCCAAAATATTTTTTGAGTTAGTATCTCTTTTCGCAATTCTTGACAGTACTTTGTGTAGAGATCAAGAAGAATGATGATCAGAATCATGTAGTCTCTTCTTCCTTTTTGGTACTTCACGATTTTCTTTTGCTTTTAGCTCTTCGAAGAACCTGGGAATCACAGCCATGGTGATTCGATCAGCAATATCCAGGTAAGGGTTCGAACTCAAGTGCAAACAGTTGGGACGAACCCAATTGGATGATTTTAGATTTTTTTCCCCCTTTGATAGGGAGGGGATATTATATAACTTCATTGTAGAAACTTATGATTTTAACTCATTTCTTATTTGATTCACAAGTGAATGTGATTTAGCTATTGATATGATGAATTCAAAATCTTCGATTTGGATAAAAAAAGTTGATTACTTGTTGCAACATCTCAAAGCCGAAAGCAATTGATTGGTCCAATAACTTCAAATCCAACTTAAAACTATGGTGGAAGTTATTGGTAGCCTATAAGGCTACAACCATTGTTCTAAAATAACTTGTTATGACTCCGTTACAACACATTACTTTGTAAGACTTAATTAAATAGACATAAAAAAGAAGCTTCACCACTAAAAGCCTAACTAGGTAATTACTTATAATCATTCTCATACACGAAGAGCCAGACACGAATTCTTTGAAAATTGAAGAAAGTAATGAGTTGAGATTGAAGATATTTAAACATGGTTTTGTATCATTGATATCATTTTTTATTAGCTCTGTACATTTGGTATCAATTATTCCTCTTTATTTTTTTAGTTTTATTGCTTTATATGAATTTAATTTGTTTTATATTATTATTCAAAACACTACATAACACAAGTGTGTGTATTTGTGTATTGCCGCCTTAGGTCATGCCTTAAAAAACATCATGGCTTCGCTATAACTCGTAAGGCTTGAGGCTTGAACTCACTGTTGCGCCACGTCTTACGTCATTTAGAACCTTGCCTACAACTTAAGACTTACAAGGAGCTCACAAATCAGCATTATGGGACAAGTTGTTACAAACTTTCCCACTTAAACTCTTGATGTCCTCGTCAGATCTGCTAAGAATCTTACTTCTTGTAATCGGCGATGTGGGATACGCTTAAAATATTATAAACGACCCCCCCCCCCCGAGGACTCATCATACCCGATGAGGTTTGCCCCACATCATGATGGTACAAGGATCAGCTTTGATGCCATTTGTAAGACCCCAAAGCCTAAAGCAACATACTGACCCAATAACTTCAAATCCAACTTAAAACCACGGCGGAAACTATTAGTAGCCTACAACGTAAGGCTTATAAGGAGCTCACAAATCTTCATATGGGACAAGTTATTACACTGGCAACCAAAGAAATTGTCTCCAAAGGGAGAACATTTGGCCCACTCAACGACTAAGGCTAGCTGGGGGAGGGGGTGTCCGAGATTGAACCCAGACATGTCTTGTATTTGGACAAAGTTCCCCTTGAGATATATTGGTTTTTTATTTTTGTTTCTAAATCCACAATTTTCGTTCATTTTAGATTTTTTTCCCTTGATAGATGGGTAATTTTAAATGAGATGAAAGATAACGTGAGAAGCGTAAAAGGGGATCTGGACCTTGATCACCCTTAATCTTAAACCTACTCACGAATCGCGCTTGATACAAAGATTGATCCAGTACATCTCGATGCATCTCATCTTAATGTGCATCCAAAAGTGGAAACCCCTTCTTACGTTTCTCACATTAACTTTCATTCTCACTATAATCCAACTCTTTTAAATGGAATTTTGATTTTTAAGTCATCTTATGGGTTTTTAACGTGTTTTTCCTCTCATTCTTGTCGGTACCGTTGATGTGTCAATAGATAGTACACGAATATGTCGTTAAACCTTTTATGCACTTATACAATGTATGTATCGGTTAGGTGTTTGGTACGTGAACTAGACATGAGATGGACACTTAAAATGTGTTTTCTGTGTGTTTCTTTGCATTATAATATTTTATTGCGACTGAAATGGGAAAGATGGATGTTTTTTTCTAATTTCAAAGTTGTAATAAATAATATTTTATTTTTGTGTTCCCATGCTGCAGATCTGCCCTGGTATCTATTATTTAAGCAATGGTTCCTTGTCTCCTACTCCTGAATTCAATAATTCATCTCATTCAAATATCAAAAGGGAAT